CGTTTGATGATTTCACTGAATTTATATATTAAAATAAGTTAAAACTACATAAGTTGTGGACTATGGTTTTATTTGCAACATATTTTTTTCAAATAGGCATTTCCAGATACAGCTGAGTGGTTACTACAATAAAAATCTAAAAAATAAATACAATTTCAAACTACATAGCCTAAAATGTAAATGTAACTGAAATTAGGCCAACATTAAAGCATGACAAAATAAATATGCCTCAAACATTGCAGAAGACCATTAAAAGGTATTAAATTCACAATACAAGTATAATGGTTCCTATGCCACCAAATGGCATTCTTCAAACTGGCATCCCCTTTATATAAGTTATATAACAGCCGTTGGCATTTAGCCTATTATGAAGTTAAAATTGCCAATAGGTGGCGCCAAATCACCGTCTTAATGTACGAGTCATAGAAGCAGTCAACTGATTTGTTCAAAATGGCAGATTCGTTCTGGAACTAAGCAACTAGGTCACTGAATCACAAATACGCATAACTCTTTCTGTGGCTTGTTTGGAACTATTGTCATTGGAGAAATCGAGCAAAACCAGAAAATATTTGGAATATTATGTCTAAAATGTCACATCACAATATTCACTCTTTGTTTACTGAACTGTTTTATAAAATCATCACATTTGCAATCGCGCCAATAATCTGGAAATATTTTTTTATATATGTTATAATTATGAAAATAACTCATACTAGGGCCATTTTTCCACCACATTTTGAATTTTGGGTGCATATTAATTCTGCTGGCATTTTTTGCCACCAACCCTCTGATAACATTAAGAGAAACATAAACGACAAAACTAACAGTTTTCTATATTGTTTTTCGTCATTGGAAAGAACAACATTTTTGGCTCTAAAGCATGATTTAAAAAGAAATGTGGCAAATGTTATACAAAACATACCATCATTAATTATCATTTGAATATTGACAACATTAAGCTACATTTGAAAACATAATTGTGTATAAAGAGGCATGCTGTTTTGACCAATATTATTCTCTCTAGATTTAAAGATAGTCAAATTAACTATAACAAACAGGTTAAACAAGCCATAGCTTACTTTTAGACGTGGTGAATGAAGTTCGACTGTTCGAGGTTGTGATGCTCGTCCGATATCCCTTGCCAGTTATTATGCGTACAACAAATCTTCTTGCATGAATATGGTCATTTTCTTGTGTTTATATCCAAAATGATACGATGTTGGGAGATGTTTTTGTATTTAGCGTGCTCACCGCGATGTAGGCTATTTCTGGGCTTGTGCAGCGTCACGCAATCGCGCAGAATCTGATGACTGACGTCAATGGTTCCGTTGCTTTCATTTTGTTTATCAATGAATGTTGCGATGATTTATATAAAAATGTATATCAAGTCATTCTCGAGTCATACAGTTCAAGTCAAGTCAAGTCTCAAGTCATTGGATCTCAAGTCAAAGTCAAGTCGAGTCATTTTCTTAATTTAGTCAAGCAAGTCTCAAGTCCTTAAATTTGCGACTCGAGTCTGACTCGAGTCAAGTCATGTGACTCGAGTCCCCCATCTCTGCTGTTGCCCTTCTATCAGCTCGAACCAGTCTGGCCATTCTCCTCTGACCTCTGGCATCAACAAGGCATTTCCGCCCACAGAACTGCCGCTCACTGGATGTTTTTTCTTTTTCGGACCATTCTCTGTAAACCCTAGAGATGGTTGTGCGTGAAAATCCCAGTAGATTAGCAGTTTCTGAAATACTCAGACCAGCCCTTCTGGCACCAACAATCATGCCACGTTCAAAGTCACTCAAATCAACTTTCTTCCCCATACTGATGCTCGGTTTGAACTGCAGGAGATTGTCTTGACCATGTCTACATGCCTAAATGCACTGAGTTGCCGCCATGTGATTGGCTGCTTAGAAATTAAGTGTTAACGAGCAGTTGGACAGGTGTACCTAATAAAGTGGCCAGTGAGTGTAGTCCTCAGATGCATGTCTGTAATTTATAGCAAACCATCTAGCATTAATTAGATCTCAAACTGATTCATTAACAGTAGTTATTACTCCATAACCTGCGTGACATTAACATGTGGTTGAACGACCAATTTGCGACAACATGGTTTCGGGAAACAGTCGTGACTATAGTTGATTTCTCCAGCTACTCATCGCACTATAGTAGTGAAGCAGCGAGTTACAGCGTTATACGGGAAACACACTCCAGATGAAGATATTTTAGCGGTCAGCAACTTTCCTATAATTATTGGCATGTCTCGCTCCGAGCCTGAATGGTTTCGTAGACTCGTGCCTATGCGTTCCCCATAATCGCCATGATAGCCTGTTTTTCGTTCATCACGAATATTAGGCCGTTTATGTTCTGATTTCCTTTATGTTTAGTCTTTTCCCTCCAAAATGCAAGAAAACGGATTGCAACTAGCGCTGTCACTTTTGTGAAAAAATCCTGTTCGATTTGAGACATTAGTGTTCATTGAATCGATAGTAAAATTGATTTTCCATGTCTAAAGACGTTTCCATTTTCAACACCAAATACAGGCAAATCCACGGACACCTAACAGGCGTTAGGAGGAGCGTAAAGAGGCACTTGAGACGCACAAGTCAGCAATATTCCTGATGATTTATTGGCGTGAAGTTTCAGCACAATGACAAACAGGAGCGCAACATTCAGGGATTGAGATTAACTCCCTCGACTCGCCAGATGCGCGTACAAATGAACTTTGGCGGGAAACGCTGTCGAATCACGAGCCAATCAGGCGTGTTTCTGTGTTTACTCACTTTGCTGGGGAAGTTCGTGTAAGGCAAATGTGCGCAAATACGCAACTCGTGATCCTCATGATATATTAAATACAGCGTATAGCAGAATCTGCTCATTTCTGGCTCACTTGAACACACACACACACACACACGTCACTACGCACCAAATAACGGCGCGCTTGTTCACTTGCATTGAAGTAATAGCGAATATTAAAAAGGTTAACAGAAAAGACAGTGTTATTTTCCAGCATTCTGTGTCCTGTATTGATCTGTTCACCTAAAACACATTTTTGCTAAAAAAAAAAGGCTGTTAAAATCGATTCCCTATTTTCGTTTTCGAAACTTGTGTTGGTTGGTCCGATCGATTGTGCAATCGATTTTCGAATGTAAAGTGACAGTCCTAAGTGTAACATGGAGCAAAGTTGCTGGCAGTGTGAACGCAGAGCTTTCTGAGGAACACTACGTTTATTTTCCTCAGCAAGTATAAAAATCGAATTAATTCCTGTCTTTGCTTAGTGATTACTTCAGGATTTCCCTCGGTGGATTTGCACTTGGCAGGGGTTTTCTGAGTGAACAGGGGAGTCATTAAAATAAGTTAATTAACTAATAAGAGGCTTGGGTTTTGCGTCATTGCTACCGCTGCACACGTTCTCTTGCCACATCATTACCACTTCAAGATCCAGAAAGCCCTAAACGATGACAAACACCCTCCTTTCCCTGTGTCCCCGATGTTATAACCCAGCCACAAAACGGCTTATACTCGGCCAGCCATCAAAGAAGCGAACAAACCACCAGTGCATTTCCCACAGTGCAATAAGATCCACACTAAAGATCTCATGTTGAATTGCTTTCTGAAAAGGCTTTCAGTGCTCAAACCCCACAAGGTATTTTAATAATAGGATGATTAATTGATGAGTCAGAATAGAATAAGGAACAATATCAAACTAATCACTTTTCTTTTTTTTAGAATCACTGATCCATTTATTAGAAGATACTTTTAATAAATGTATTAGGTTTTAACCTCCTGTGGTGAAAAATCAAGCTTTTAATGTTGTTTATATGCCTATGTGGCGTTTAAGATGTGTAAATTCATGCTGAGTATTTTCTGCTTAAAACTGCAGTGAACCAAAGACAGTCTCAAAAACACGGTTTGAAATCGCTGGTGTTTCTGACGTCACAAACGACCTTGTAACCAATCAGATCAACATGTGATCGTCAACCAGGGGATCTCTGAGCTGAGCGAGTGAGTGGAGGCGGGGCTCATTTGCATATTCATAGAACCGCGTATACTAAATGAGGCAAGGGTGTCGAGTTACATTCAAGATATTTTAAGGCATGAAGAAATTTTTTTTCAAGGAAAAAACGTTTTAAATATGTCATTGTGGTGATCAAAGATGAGTTTTAAGGGATACAATAATTGACTACAGGGGGGTTTTAAAAATCGCCATAATATCATAGAAATACATAATGGGAAAAATAGTAATACAATGTTTGTTTTTCTTTTTTTTCTTTTTAAAATGTATATTTAGTTATTTTTTTATTGTTGTGTTTCCCATTTTGGAATTAATGTATTAATTCAGTTTAGTGTTTTTACAAATGAATTACATTTAACAAGAAATCTAATATTCAGAATTTTATTTTATACATTTCATTATTATTTTTGTTCTTATGTATTTAGTGATATATTTAATTTAGAAAATGTTTTAAGTCAATTTAGCATTTTATGCATATAATTTATTCCACTTTTTAATGACATTTTACAAAACATGGTAATACAATGTTGTATTTTGCAATATGATATTAAAAACTGGGTATGTATGTAACATTATATGTCATACATATAAAATGGGAAACACAACAATAAAAAAAAACCTAAAAATACATTTTAAAAATTAAATAACTAAATAAAAAAAATCTGTTAAAAAAAGAAAAACAAACATTGTATTACTATTTTTCCCATTATGTATTTCTATGGTATTATGGTGATTTTTATAGTCCCCCTGTAGTCAATAATTTCATCCCTTAAAACTCATCTTTGATCACCAAAATTACATATTTAAAAACAAAAACACACAGAAAAAATAAATAAAAAATTCTTCATGCTTTAAAATAGCTTGAATGTAACTCGACACCCTTGCCTCATTTAGTCTTATCTTCAGAACCATGGCGTATATCAAAGTCTCATGGTTTACTGATGGCATCTAGTAAATGTCCTATTCTTTGAATTTCAGTAGCATCACAGTAACTCACCGTTGTCTCTGGCCAGCTGAAAGTATCCGTCCACTAGTGAAGCTCCGTTGTTGAAGTGTTGGGTCATGTGATCGAGCCAGTTCGCCTCCAGCGTGCAGATGCCCTCGCCCTGCGGTTGCACTCGTAGAGGCACTTTAACCGTGTAGTACTTAAACTGACCCTCACGGCGGCCCGGGTAGTTAAACAACCCGAACAGCTCTGCACCTGTGGACATGTGAAACATTGATTTCGTTTAATGGCAGAGAAAAGTGGTAATGGCCATTTAGTCTAACTGTACGTACACACCGCCGCCGACTTGAGCTTCCAAAGCGGCCGGAAGTCATTCATTTTCAATGGAAGCTGGCTTCTCTCCGCTGCAAGGAGCGGCAAATCCATCGGCGTCGCGTTTTGAGCGTCAATCAGAAAGTTGAAAGTAACTCAACTTTATGGTAATGAGCTATGACGCGGTTCAGCGGCAAAACGCCAGCAACCAATCGGATTATAGACGTCCTTCGCGTCGGCTGATTCCGGAGAAACATACGATGTAAACTTTCGTTCCTACCAAAACATTAGGAGAGAAGCTAATCATCGCCGTTGCTGGGTTTCCTATCATTTATGCTATGACGTTGTTTGCATATTGATAACGGTCCGGGAGGGTGTCATGAACCCAAAATCTCCGAGTCCGACGTATTCTCCGCAAATACAATACAGCAGCACCAAACACAACAACTTCGCGATGATCCATAACGATCCAGTGATACACATTTGAGGATGAGCGCAACTTTTATTGGAAATATTTACGAACGCTCGTTTTAAGCGGGAACGCAATTCATTTGCTCACGGTAACACCGATTTGACCAACTGCAATAGATGCAAATAAAAATAATAACTAATTTTTTTTTTTTACCAAATGTGACCAAAACGGTTATAAAAAGGCTGTCATTATAAAAGGTTTCTAGTGTCAATGTATTGCTTGTTTGTCATGTTGTGACACTTCTCTTCTTCCTGCTACGTCAGAGCGGCCAAAGCGTCAACAAGCTTCCCCGTACTTTTTGGCCAGAGCTTCTTTGCCGCTCAAGTCGGTGGGGGTGTGTAGCACAGTAAAGTAAATTTCTCGTCTGAAATTTTCGCACGTTAAAAAATAAATACGACCTCACGTTGTGTCAATCATGAAAACGATTCGGATCAGGTTTAATTTTCTGCGTTTTTCGCATCCGTAGCAAGCACTTTGAGAGGTGTTTTGACAATTCAGAGCCACCGTACAAGTGAACGCCAAAATCCAAAACTGTTCAGGATCAATTGCTTCATGGAAATTGGTGGTCTTCTTATCTCGCTCTGGCGGGACAATTGAAACAAAGCACAACTACCGTTCAAAGTCAATTTTTACTTAAATCATTCTAAATTTCAACCGAATAACACATGATACTATGAGAACACAATGTGAGTTGTTGATCACAAAAAAAAAAAAAAAAAAATCTATCTGTAACCTTATCTTAGAAACCGACGTTTATCTGAAAAGTGTTTCAACTGTCCCAGCTCTCCCGTATCTATGGAAGCTTGTTTCCGCCACAGAATGAAAAATAAAAAGGTAATTGCGACTTTTTCTCTCACAATTCTGACTTTTTTTCTCACAATTGCGAGTTTACATCTCGCAATTCTGACTTTATTTCTCAGAATTGCGAGATATAAAGTTAGAATTGCGTGATATAAGATCGCAATTGCGTGTTATAAAGTCAGAATTGCGAAATATAAAGTCAGAATTTATTGATATAAAGTCGAAATTGCAGGTTATAAAGTCAGAATTGCGAGATATAAAGTCGCAGTCAGAATTGCGTGAAATAAAATCGCAATTGCTTGTTATAAAGTCAGAATTGCGAGATATAAAGTCAGAATTGATTGATATAAAGTCGCAATTGCGTGTTATAAAGTCAGAATTGCGTGATATAAAGTCGAAATTGCGTGTTTTAAAGTCAGAATTGTGAGACATAAACTATTCTGAGGGGAAAAAAGTTAGTCTTTTTTCCCCTTAGAATTGGCCTGATAACTCGCAATTGCGATAAATCGCAATTCTGTCTTTTTTTCGCGCAATTGCGACTTTATTTCTCATAACTGCGACTTTATATCTCGCAATTGCGACTTTATTTCTCATAACTGCGACTTTATATCTCGCAATTGCGACTTTATTTCTCAGAATTGCGACTTTATATCTCGCAATTGCGACTTTATTTCTCATAATTGCGACTTTATATCTCGCAATTGCGACTTTATTTCTCAGAATTGCGACTTTATATCTCGCAATTGCGACTTTATTTCTCATAATTGCGACTTTATATCTCGCAATTGCGACTTTATTTCTCAGAATTGCGACTTTATATCTCGCAATTGCGACTTTATTTCTCAGAATTGCGACTTTATATCTCGCGATTGCGACTTTATTTCTCACTTCATATCTCGCAATTGTGAGATAAAAGTCGCAATTATTATAATTTTTTTTTTTTTATTCAGTGGCGGAAACAAGCTTCCATACGTATCTGAAGATCAAATCGGATCCGATATTTCCGCATCCGTATATGATCGTAACTCCCATACTATTCTCCATTGGAAATGAATGACTTCCGGTCCGACGGCTGTCGTTTGTCGTATGCAGTGGAAAGGCGGCTTTACTCCTAAATGAATTGAGTTTAATGGCAGAGAAGAGTAGTAATGGCCATTCGGTCTAAGCCAGTATAACCATCATAACCCAGACTCGAGCTGGTCTTGTCAGAAGGGTTATGAGATCCGTTGCTTTGTGAAGTGCGGGTTTCTTCACTGTTGCCCTTCACATGCACTTAATTAATTAGCTTGTAGATGGGCTAATTAGCTGATGTCCTGGTCTAGCGGAGGTGAGTAATTAGGGAAATTAGCTGATGTAGTGGCAATCTCGAACGAGTATTTAGGACCGCCGTTTCTCACTAGACCAGAATTGACCATCCGTTCTTCTCAATGAGATTACATTTGGCTGGAAAACAAAACGCTGTTTACCCTGTGCCTCAAAGAGAACGAGAGTGGACCTAATGGATCACGATAGTCCAAGATGAATTTGTTTGTGTGCTTGGCTTACCTCCTAAAACCTCCCTATTTTCAGAACTAATGGGAAATTGACCAAAAAGATAAATATGGATGCACTTTTGTTCTGGCAGCGATCATTTAGATTGCCTCTGACTGCATTGAGTCATTAGCCTCATCTGACGGGACCAAGAGAAGCGGATGAGAGAGAGAACGATCTGAATGGCTTTCTGAGCACTTAAAGCACAAATCCCAGCAAGGATTAATCATTATTTGTTGTTTTACTTCAGCTCGGGTACAGCAGGTTCCTCAGTTAGTCTTCCTGTAAACTCAATTCCTGTAATGTCCACAGTACATGCGCATCGCTTTATTACACACTGATTTTTAGTTTATTTTCGCCTTTTTATAGATAAGGAGGGCTGCAAAAAAAAAGGTCAAATTATAATTTAAACGTAGAGCCATTTAGATTTTTTTTATTGTTATCAAATTATAATTTAAACGAAGAGCCATTAAGATTTTTTTTTGTATTGTTATTTTCATGACAGTTGTTTACCTTTCCCTCTAATTTTTTTTATTACTTTTATATTAGTTATATTTATATTTTATTATATAAATACACATATTATAATTACATATTTAAAATGTAAAGTAATTATACACTACTATTCGTAGGGGTTGGTTTTGAAAGAGTTTCTTCTGCTCACCAAAGCTGCACTTATTTGATAAAAAATACATTAAAAATTGTGAAATATTATTACAATTTAAAATAGCTGTTTTCTATGTGAATATACAGTAAAGTGTAATTTATTCCTGTGATCAAAGCTGAATTTCAGCATCATTACTCCAGTCTTCAGTGTCACATGATCCTTCAGAAATCACTCTAATATGATGATTTGATGCTCAAGAACATTTATTATTATATCATAAATTTGGATTAAAGCGTCTGCTAAATGAATAAATGTAAATATCAATGTTAAAAACAGTTGAGCTGCTTATTTTTATGGATTCTCTGATGAATAGAAAGTTCAAAAGAACAGCATTTATTTAAAACAAATATTTTGTTGTCACTTTTGATCAATTTAATGCATCCTTGCAAAAAAAACACACAAAAAAAAACGTACTGGTCCCAAACGTATGAACACTAGTTTAAATCATTGTTATACTGACCTTAATGTATGGTTATTAATGAATTATTATTATTTATTTACTTAAATCATTGCAGTATGCTTTGGTTAAACATTCAGGGTTTAGTATTTTCACAGTATTTTTACAGTTAAAAAGTTGCAAAAAACTTTGTTCTTGTCCAGTGGTTCAATGGTGACAGTGTATATGTTTTAATTAAATATTTAATGCTCTTCACACATGAAAGCCAGTGTCTCTGTGACATCGGCTAACTTCCAGATGGGCTTGGTAAAGCGTTGGATGTTCAGTGCAGAAACAAGCACACAAACGACCCCTTCAAGCTCTATATGATCCCTCTTAACCCTTTCGACAAGGTCAAACTCGCTGGATATCTGCGGTTAGCACTGCCAAGGAACGTGACATGCCATCAAGCGCTTGCCTAATCCGCACTTGAATTGCATCATATCAACACCCAAACACATCCCCAAAAAGTCCTGACCTCCGTCTACAGAGGAGCTGATAACTATGGAAATATTCGGATGTGGATTGCATCCCATCGGCTGATTGTGAAGGTCCCGGATATAAATAGATGTTTTTGAACTCGAGAAACTTTGGCTTGTCGGATTTTTGCATTTGCACTGAATTCCCTTATGAATCGTGTGTTAAAACAATGCATTTGACAGTTTTAACAATCATCACTGTTCATTTTTAGTTAAATTCCTCTAAAATATGTCAGTTGTACCTGTTCTGTGCCCTTTTTTTGGTTAACTACCCAACTTCACTTTATGCCTACCATTTTACTGCAATGCATTGTTTTATTTCAAATCTTTAACTTTCTTCTACTGTTAAAAAATATGATGCAAAACCAGAAATTCCCTTGGAAACCCCAAAAAAACTCATTCTTTTCCATAGTTTTAGGGCTACAACCTGAACATTAAAATAGTTACATAATCTTAATGGTCTTACTTTCAGTTTCTTATTTCTTATATTTTTTATTTTGTTTTAAAATGCATCAATGCAGAATATTGCCCTTTTAATTTTCAACTTAGTTAGGGATGCACAAATATAAAAAATGTGCCGATACAGATAACCGATAATTCTTTACATTTGAAAGCCGATAACCGATATTTTGCCCGATAAATCTAAATCCAAATTTTTATAATTTTTGAGAGCATGATTATCAAAAACACAAGTCTCACCATTAAAAGCCATGTCGCAAGCACACAATTATATTGATGTTCTCATTATAATTTTGTGTAGCCGATATGCACTTTACTGCATTTTCCTTTTCTGAAGTGAATCCAATCATATTTCAAGCCATTCAAAACCATAATTGTGTCTCAGATGAAGGAAATAATCCATTATTTATCGGCTTTAATATATCAGCCAAGTTTTCTTATCAGGCCAATAATGATAACATTAAAAACAAACATATATGGGCCGATACCGATATGGTGGCCTGGCCATCATCCCTTATTTTAGATGTAAAGCACTTTGAATCACTGCTGTGCATGAAACACAATAACCGTGCTTTTCTTTGTGAACGCAGGTTTCACTCGATGGCTTTCCAGCTTCACTGCGGGACGAAAAACCCTTCCTTTGACAAACCTCCGAGCATTTCCCACTGCTGACCAGCGCCATTATGCTTTATATATGATCTCCAGGAGCATTAGAGGCATTTGAGCGGGGAATGACTATATTTATCAGCAGCGGCGATAAGTCATAAAGACAGCGCTGTGCCAAACGACTCCTGGCATCTGTCATTTTGTGCCTGAATGAGAAAAATTGGTGTAGCGTGAGTCCATATGATCATTCCACATGCAGAGACTCGGGCACAGGACTCCCAGCATGCATCATTCACATGCTACGGTGAACTCTGTGCACAATGCCACAATTTTGCAAGAAACGCCTCCCTTGCTAATGTTGAGAATGAGGTTTGCCATCTGGTTACTAGAGGAAAAAAGAAGGGTGAACAAAGCCTAATCTAGCACCCGCTGTGTGGGTTTTTGTAAATGCCAAATGTTCCCAATCCCATACGTCAAAACTCTGACAATGCTTTTCTTGAGACAAAAAAAGCCAGTGAGATGCTTTCACAGTGTGTGACATCCAGAAGTCAAATGATTTATGATCTTTCTAACTCATCAACGCTTCAAGAAAATCAGCTGGGATTAGGGATTACGCCGTCGACATTAAAGCTGAGCAACATTGTGAATATCGCAGTGATTTTCATGCCGATACAGTGGATGTTTTGACTTTTCACCAAAAAAACTGCACATCACATGTAAATGGATCAATAATTGATAAATAAAACGCCAATTGATACCAATAAAATGTCCGAATACAAGAACACGTAATGAGTGTTTAGTGATATTATAGAAATAAAATATTGATTTCTAAAGGCAATTTTTACCATGTCTGATCAGAGGTGTGGTTGAAAAAAAATCTGATCATTGATGATAATCATAAATGTTTCTTGAGCATCAAATCATCATATTAGAGTGATTTCTGAAGGATCATGTGACACTGAAGACTGGAGTAATGATGCTGAAAATCACAGGAATAAATTACACTTTACTATATATTCACATAGAAAACAGCTATTTTGAATTGAACAATTTTTACTGTATTTTTGAGCATAAGAGACTTCATCAAAAACATCTTACGACCACAAACTTTTGAAGAGTGGCGTACAGTTTATATATAGATAAATAGAGAAATATATAGAATATTATCACAAATATGCTTGCCAGCATTTTATGCCGAAACTAAAACTTTTTGAGATTTCGTTTTGATCAAAGGATAAAGATGATCGACCCACCGCTCTTACTCAGCGTGACCCGGCTGGCTCTCTCGGTTGTGTCTTTGACTTTGGCCGTGTCGTTGTTGTTGTGTTGCTGTGTTTCACCAGGTCCTGATTTCAACACGGCTGACGTCTCAACAGAGAGATCATCTTCTCCTCCTCCTTCTGAAGGCTCTCCTCCCTCGTTTTCTCCTTGGTTCTGGTCTTCGGGCTCGGGCTCCTCCAGGGGACTGGGGCTCGGCGTGAGCCCGGATCCGTGCAGCGAGCTGGGGCTTGAGTGCAGGGAGAGAGAGGGTTCCTCTGGTTCTCCGTGTCGGGACACATGTGGGCGAAGACCCGCCGGCTCCTGGATGAAGCCCGCGAACATGATGCCCTGATCCGCAGCGTCCTGGATCTGCTGAGGAGAGAGAGAGAGACACACTCAAATCAAGTCAAGTCAGTTTATTTATACAGCGCTTTTTACAATACAGAGAGTTTCAAAGCAGCTTTACAGAGATAACAGGAAAATAATGCAACAAAGTTTGTTTCCAGAAGAAAATAGCGTCTCAGTCCAGCTTGACTATACAGTCAAACCTACATTTATTATAACATTTCTCACATTATCACAGTTTATTCGCTATAGTTTAGTAAATGGCAACAGAGTTCTCAGATCAGTGGATATTTGACTGGTTTTGTCCGTCCTTCGGTTAGACTCTCACACATGAATTATGTTGAATATCTGTCAGCTGTTAAATTTAACTACACAATTAGATAATACCAGTTTAGCTCAACCAGTGACCAAGCAATGCTTCATGTTGTTCAGTCTGTGTGTAAAAAGAGCATTAGCAATTACAGAAAAAACATTTAAGCAAAACATGATCAGCTCAAAGTGGAGGAATAATATTTGGGCCCAAATTTTTATAAATTTTACTTGTATGAAGAATTTTTGGGTGTAATATGTCACAGTTTTCTTTACTTTGCTCTCCTCACTTACATAAATGAACTATAGTGTCCTGATCACACTAGTAAAATACCCACTATATCTGGTTTCTGAATAATTTTTGGTTTGACTGTATTTTTTTTGTTGTTGCTGAAAATCAATGCCAGTTTAGACAAACATGAATTTCCATGCTAGTCTGGTTGTTGCGGATTTATCCTGCTCAAACAATGAGATTGTTTACAGTAGCTGACAATAAGGAAAGCCAAGCACAACTCATTATCATATGAAAAGCCTTCTCACACAAGACAGAATTTCAGCTCTGAATTATCAAGGAATATTATCACTATTGTGGATGCATTTGGCTGCATTTATTTGAATGAAAACAGTAATATAGTGAAATATTAAAGAACTTTTCTATTTCAGCATCCAATACTCCAGTGTCACATGATGATTTGCCGCTCAAGAAACATTATGATTATTAGGCTATCAGTGTTGAAAACAGTTGTGCTGCTTCATATTTTTGTGGAAACCGTGATACTGGACCATTCAAAAGTTGATCTCAAAAAGCAGCAAAACAGTTAATAATTGAGTACCAATAATATTAGAGTGATTTCTGAAGGATCATGTGACACTGAAGACTGGAGTAATGATGCTGAAAATACAGCTTTGATCACAGGAATAAATTACACTTTACTAGATATTCACATAGAAAACATCTGTTTTAAATTCTAATAATATTCTAATAAGAGTTTTTGATTACATAAATGCAGCCTCGGTGAGCAGAAGAGACTTCTTTCAAAAACCTTTTTAAAAATCTAATTATTCCAGACTAGTGCATATCCGGAAAATATGAGATTAAATGGTTTACTATGCCTACATATTTTTGGATATGACTTTGTCTGATTTGATCCTGGTCCAATTTAGCAGATCTTCTCAAAACAGTTCAATGACATCTTGAAACATTTGATAAACTTTTCTGATGCAACTTTCTTTGAGTTGCATCATATTGTAAGAAATTTCATTTGGAGAAAGTAGTTTCATTCATTTCCAGTTTCCTCATCGTAAAAAAACATTGAAACCGATTGATATGCCACATTACCCTAATAATAAAACGCGATTCAAAACAATATATTGCAAAAGCGACTTCCTTTCTTCCACACCATCATCTATTTGAAATTAGCACACACTGATTACAATGGCAGCGGTCCACCATTGACCCACATCAGACGAGCATCTCACACTTTATTGTCAGTTCACGTTTCGAAGCCAGTCTTTGAATTCTCATCAAACCAAATTGAATCGTTAACTGTCAAGGAATGCTAATGATGCCATTTTCCATTATGCTGCTTTAATAAAGGGCAGCCTGAGGCCTGCCTCCACTATCTCCATCCGAAGCCTTCGCCCACACCACAATCACACAGGTTATTTTCTCTGAAATTAAACCGGGAACAGGCCCGTCCTTTTCCAGTGGCATTGTTTAATGCATATTGAACGCTGACGCCGGGAGTCCTGTCATTATATTTGCAACAATGATGCAAATGAAATTGCATAGATAAGAAGCCGTTTTCTCGCCCGGGCTCCTCCGTCGGTGAATAATTTCCGCGTTTGATGTGACGGGTGGAAGGATCGCATTGCTGATGATCGTTGCGATTAATCACGGGTGAACCTGGACCGCAACTGGGATCTATATAGTGATTCCAAGAGGTATTGGACACTTTTGTTCCACTAAGTTTGTGACTGGTAAGATTTTTCTGAAAGAAGTCTTTTATACTCATCTAGGCTGCATTTATTTGATCAAAAATACAGTAAAAACAGTGAAATATTATGTATAATGTAGAGCGAGGCGGTTGCGGAGGGGTCTTGAATCAGCCTGAAGGGGTTGTATTCGCTATAACAACCGCCTCGCTCTACATTATCCCGCTTATTACATCGCTACCTACCAAATAAATCAATAATTTGACACAAAATATTGATTTAAAAAGGAGTTTATTGATTTAAAAACGATTGTATTGCTTCCGCTAAAGAAAATAGTCCGTTCCTGTGAGAACTGAGTCCATGGCAACGCTCTGTTTTTCATGGCAACGGTCACGAAATAACAGTAGAATTCAACCAAACCATGTAATAATACAATTTAATTCATTATCATATGAATTGATTTCATATTGATATATAACATCATTACTCCAGTTTAACAACTCCTTACAAATATTTATATAAAATAAAATACCATAGTGAATGTGGTGTTTTGCATTAGCTGGCATAGTCATCAAAAGCTTTACAGAAATATTCTGCACAGCATCTTACAGGGTTTTAAGGATATACCATATTGATTTATGATTTTGTAGTTTTAACAAATTGCTATGTTCCAAAACCAAGTGAGCTTTTCTCTGGTGCTGCTCGTGTGGCGGTCAAAAATAATCAAATCTATTATTATTTTTTATTTCATTGAAAGTAATGCACTATATTTTAGTCCGATAATGTTTTTCAGTTAATATTTTGTATTTTATTTTGTACTAAAATAATATTCATGCAGTTGTTAAAATCCATTTATTCACTTTTTGAGCATAGACCTGAAAATGAGAAATATTGAATGCTTTGAAGCACAGACTTAAGTTTGGTCTCTTTTTAAAGATGACACTTGACAGATTATTACTGAAGTAAAAAAAAGTTACAGAAGTTTAAGTTTATTATTATAAAAAATGCATAAAAATACTGTTTTTTCTTATATTTGATATGAAATATATATTTTCCAAAACAAGTTTTACTCTAAAACTGTGAGAAAATCAAAGCCATACATCTAAACAAGTTGTGTTCCAAATTTGAGGTTGATATCTCAAAAATGAGCAATCTATAAATCCCATAATGCACTGCAGCAAGCTCACCTTATTAATAATTAAAAATATTAATTTGCAGTTTTTTTATTCGCTTTGGGACTATTTTCACAAGTAAGGTGTACATTTTCAAAACCCTTAGTACAAAAATCCAAACTGATCACACTTGTAACACAGCTAGTCATTCTTTCAAAACATGATCCCATGCTTTCATTACAGTTATACATTTTTCAGTCCACATAATCATTGTTTCAAACTCAAGATTATTGTAATATGTAATGAGAACGTTTGGTTTACAGGTTTTTTTATTCGCTTTGGTACTATTTTCACAAGTAAGGTGTACATTTTCAAAACTCTTGGTGCTAATATCACAACAGATCATCAAAAGTGCACTTTTTTCAAACATTTCATCATGTTTTCAATTGCGTTAGTACAATTCACAAAATCACAAAGTATCCTTTTCACCACACAAAATAAGTGTTTCATCTACATTATTGTTTCATTCATAGTAACTGCCTTTCATAAAGCTTTTACTATCAAACTTTTGATTTGCATCTCTTTTTGTTCAGTTTAATACAGTTGTCTATTATTTAATCCAACTGATCTTAATGGTTAATCAATGAATCATTTGGTAAACCTATAGATTTTCATTTCAGCAATATACAGTATATGGAATTTTGAAAACTACAGAAATAAAATGTGCGTTTGTACGAACATATAAATTACGTGTAACCACACATGATGAATACTCGTTATTGCTAATTGATTTCCCATAGTGGTAACCACAATTGGTTACTATATATAAAAGTGCGGGTGTAAACACTGGCCATTTCTTTCAACATGGAGCAGGATAGACAGCAATGAATAGGAAGAGCTCGTGGACAAGGGATCCGTCAGAGAGGTGGGCATGGGCACCAACAGAGGTCAGAGAGGTGGGCATGGGCACCAACAGAGGTCAGAGAGGTGGGCATGGGCACCAACAGAGGTCAGAGAGGTGGGCATGGGCACCAACAGAGGTCAGAGAGGTGGGCATGGGCACCAACAGAGGTCAGAGAGGTGGGCATGGGCACCAACAGAGGTCAGAGAGGTGGGCATGGGCACCAACAGAGGTCAGAGAGGTGGGCATGGGCACCAACAGAGGTCAGAGAGGTCAGAGAGGTGGGCATGGGCACCAACAGAGGTCAGAGAGGTGGGCATGGGCACCAACAGAGGTCAGAGAGGTGGGCATGGGCACCAACAGAGGTCAGAGAGGTGGGCATGGGCACAAACAGAGGTCAGAGAGGTGGGCATGGGCACCAACAGAGGTCAGAGAGGTGGGCATGGGCACCAACAGAGGTCAGAGAGGTGGGCATGGGCACAAACAGAGGTCAGAGAGGTGGGCATGGGCACCAACAGAGGTCAGAGAGGTCAGAGAGGTGGGCATGGGCACCAACAGAGGTCAGAGAGGTGGGCATGGGCACCAACAGAGGTCAGAGAGGTCAGAGAGGTGGGCATAGGCACCAACAGAGGTCAGAGAGGTGGGCATGGGCACCAACAGAGGTCAGAGAGGTGGGCATAGGCACCAACAGAGGTCAGAGAGGTGGGCATGGGCACCAACAGAGGTCAGAGAGGTGGGCATGGGCACCAACAGAGGTCAGAGAGAACTAATAGCCTACTCCCTCACCGTTGTGCCATCGTTTCGTTAGTTTGCGTATCGTTAGCTTAAAGAGCTTGATGTGAGCGTAGTGTGAAGTGGCTGAGCTGGTTAAAGCCAGCTATTTTTTACAGTCTATGGTTAAAGCGTAAAGCCTTGTTTATACTCGACGCGTTCGCAAGAGCCAAAAATGACGTCATTGTAACGGCGCGCGCGCCTCCGCATCCCCTAGACACCATTTACTACACACAGTAGGCTCAGACATGGTGCATTTTTAATTAATAAATAATAATGAATACAAATATTGGTGTTTTTTCTCTGATTTTGAAAACTCTTCGCGATCGACTTAAAATGATTCCAAGATCGACTTGTCGATCGCGATCGACGGGTTGGTGACTCCTGACTTAAGTCATATGTATATTGGAACAACACTGTTAAAAGAACTAACCAAAATATATTTTTTAGAGGGTTATGGTGCTTTACGGAACATCATCGGCCAACGGGCCACAGTCCAAGTGCCTGGACAACGTGGAGGAAACATCTCCATGTGCGCAGCTATCTCTGAAGATGGTGTCGTAGGACATTACTTGGCTTCTATAATGCTGCACATCTTATTGAGTTTCTCAATTACAGTAAATTGAGCCGGCCTGTCAAGGTGAAAGGGTCACCTATGTAATTGTGTGGGACAATGTCAGGTTCCACCAATCAGAGGTAGTTCAAGCATGGTTTCAGGCCCATCCCCGATTCATGACCCTCTACCTGCCTCCATACTCTCCTTTCCTCAACCCTATTGAGGAATTTCTTTCAGCATGGAGGTGGAAGGTCTATGATCGCCGACCCCTGGAGCGTGCCACCCTCCTTCAGGCCATGGATGAAGCATGTGATGACATCAGTGTACTGTAGACCAATGTCAAGCATGGATTCGTCACGCCAAAAGGTTTTTTCCAAGGTGCATGAACAATGATAACATTCATTGTGATGTGGACGAGAATCTATGGCCAAATGCTCAAGACAGGCTTGATCCAAATTACAGTAATGTAATGTGTGCACTAAATGTTATTGTTTTGTTCTTATTTAGTTACATTTCATTATAGAAAGTATAGGCCTACCTTATATCTGAAAAATAAAAACTAATTTGCCCAAATGATTGTAGAGGATGTCTTCATTGATCCTTCACTTGATTACACATATGATGGATATTTTGGAAATTATAGATTATGTAAATGTTGGGTAATGTAAGTGTATTGCCTTATGTGAAAACTGTGTAATCTGTCTTTTATAGCTACTGTAGCATATTAATTTCAGCACTTCTAAGGCTGATTTGAAACATGTATCTTGCATTGTTTGCTGTTGTATGAACTGATTGTTAAAAGTACTAAACTGAAAGAAGATCATACTGTTGTGTTTCGGTGATTAAACCAAATGTTCTCATTACATATTACAACAATCTTGTGTTTGAAACAATGATTATGTGTACTGAAAACATGTGCAACTGACTGAAAGCATGACATCAGGTTTTGAAAGAATGACTAGCTGCGTTACAAGTGTGATCAGTTTGGATTTTTGTACTAAGAGTTTTGAAAATGTACACCTTACATATGAAAATAGTACCAAAGCGAATAAAAAAAACTGTAATCACCGAAACACAACAGTATGATCTTCTTTCAATTTAGTACTTTTAACAATCAGTTCATTCAACAGCAAACAATGCAAGATACATGTTTCAAATCACCCATGTTGCTGAAATAATTACAGTATTACAGGCTACAGTTGCCATGTTAGAAAATACACATGCATTACCTAACTTATTGAATCCATAATGTTTGTAATAGTATCTGCAGTGAGTTATCAAAAGCTGTGATGAAGTATGACACAGCCATGAGGTTCAGAGTTTGCTGGCAATACAGTAAATGTGTTCACTCTTTAGCCTTTGACTGAATCTATAGTGGACCTCAAAGGTTGAGTTACAGTAATGTGGCAGTCTCTACCATGGTAATCTGTTTACAGTATCACATGGCATACATACTGTAATGTAAAATGCTGTATTTGATGCCATCTGTCTCCGTTCTACTGATGCATCTCTAATCAATCTAAAGTTTTACAGTCATTGACCGGTTCCTCTCCATTATACTCTATTCTGCTTTACAGTGTTTTCACAAATGGCAAATTTCTCTGTATCTCTCTCACACGCACTTTGAACATAGTGGTGGTTATTATCTATAAATCACTTATGTAAAAAGAATTCATTACATTTGGTTATCCATATCGGAAATTGCTAACTGTATATAGAATCAATATCTATAGAAATCTATAGGTGTATTAAATGATTCATTGATTAACCATTAGGATCAGTTGGATTAAATAATAGACAAATGTATTAAACTAAACAAAAAGAGATGCAAATCAAAAGTTTGATAATAAGAGCTTTATGAAAGGCAGTTACTGTGAATGAAACAGTTATTTTGTGTGGTGAAAAGGATACTTTGTGATTTTGTGAATTGTACTAACGCAATTGAAAACATGATGAAATGTTTGAAAAAAGTGCACTTTTGATGATCTGTTGTGATAAGAGTTTTGAAAATGTACACCTTACTTCTGAAAATAGTACCAAAGCGAATAAAAAAAACTGTAATATCCACTTTATAGGTAAAAAAACAGCAGGTCTGAACTGATAACTAGTAAGTTTTAGCACAAATGTTTGTCAATGTTTTAATATGCATGAGCAGATTTGAATATTCATGACCCGGTTATGTGTTCCTACAAGAAGCTAAACAGGAGCTTCTTACTTTCTTCACGTATCCTTGGATGTGCTCCGTAGTGGGAATCTGGTCCGCAGACATGCATTCCTCCAGTTTAAGATGGTAAGGCTCAAAGTCTGCAGGATTCTTCTCCCAGCTGGAGAGAGAGAGAGAGAGAGAGAGAGAGAGAGAGCACCGGTTTTAATGTGAAACACACAACTCTTAAACAGGTGCAGAGTAGCGATACATCTCAGACCAAACTTGAAAAAGTAAATTTTAGCGAACTGATTATACGACAAGAAAAGAAAGTGTTAGTGAGATGGTGAACATCTGTTCGTGAGGTTTATTATTGGAAACATTTTGCACAGAAATGAGCACTAAGACGACACATCTTCTCTAAACGAGCAGCTGTAATACCCGAGTGCTGCTCTCTCTCTCTCTCTCCGAGGTGATTCCCTTCTGCATTGTTAAAGGTGAAGTGCGTCATTTATTCAATGTTAAAATACTTTCTATGCCGGTTTAATGTGCAGAGACGACTGTAAGTATAACTCACTGGGCATGAGACACATTAAGAAATATCCTCACAAAGGCTCCATCAAAAATTCATAAAGTCGGCAAAAGTGTGAAATATTATTACAGTTTAAAGTAACTGTTTTCTATGTGAATATCTAGTAAAGTGTAATTTATTCCTGTGATCAAAGCTGGATTTTCCGCATCATTACTCCAGTCTTCAGTGTCACATGATCCTTCAGAAATCACTCTAATATTACATTATATTTAACCATTTAGCAGAAGCTTTTATTCAAAGCGACTTACAAATGAGCAATAGAAGCAATCAAACTAACAACAGGACAACAATATGCAAGTGATGTGACCCTTCCCAGTTTAGTCAGTGTAAATTATTATTTATTTTTTAATAGATAGGCTATAGAATAGAAGAGAGAGAGAGAGAGAGAGAGATAAAAAGAAAGTCTTAGTATTAATGGATGAAGAGTGCCTCTGAGATCTCTTATAATATGATGATTTGCTGCTCAAGAAACATCTCTGTGGTGTTTTGACTCAACCAATGGTGTGAGTTTGGGGGCGGGACTAAAAACAGTAAAATTGTGAAATATTTTTCCAATTTAAATCAGCTAAATCAGTTTTCTATGTGAAAATACAGTAAAGTGTAATTTATTCCCGTGATCAAAGCTGAATTTTCAGCATCATTACTCCAGTCTTCAGTGTCACATGATCCTTCAGAAATCATTATAATATGCTGATTTGCTGGGGTTTTGACTCATCCAATGGCGTGAGTTTGGGGGCGGGACTCTCTCTTTATAACTATGAATGACTGTAACTCAAAAACTGTTTTTGTTTCTCTCCAAAGGAAACCCTCAGAGATCCTCATGAGGTGGCGTCTTCTCCCGTCTTCTGTGTGTGTGTGTGTGTGTGTGTGTGTGTGATATTTGGGACAGAGATGAAACACACTAACCCAGAGTTCCATCCAACCACAAAGTCACAGCACAGCAGGGCCCTGACTCACCTCTGTCACACACACACACACACACACACACACACACACACGGATTCACACTTCCCGCCAACACACGGCCATCTGCTGCCTGAACACATTCGCCTCGTCTCGTTCCTGACCGTATCCTTCAGTCTGGGTTTAACATGAAGACAAACAAACCAGAGCGGCGTATGAACAGCAGAATGAAAGGCCTGTCTATTTAACAAGTTAATTTAGTGTGATTAACAATAAGAGAAAAGGAAAAACATGCTTTTTTGCAAATAATCATGGCCCCTGACATGCTTATTAATTTCATAATGTAAAAAAAAATATTCCCACCATCTGAGCATTCTGTAGTCATACAATCTGTTCTTCCTGTGATTACTTGTGATAAAACACACACAAAAGATAGAGTACACTTCATACTGCAAACTCGACTCCTGAAGTTTTATTTATTTTATTATTTTATTCAGTAAGGATGCATTAAATTGATCGAAAGTTACAGTAAAGACAGTTATTATGTTTCAAAAGATTATATTACAAATAAATGCTTTCTATTCGTCAAAGAATCCTGAAAAAAATTTAGTTTCCTTAAAAAAATAAAATAATTTAACATTGATTCTAATCATAAATGTTTCTTGAGCAGCAAATCATCATATTAGAATGATTTCTGAAGGATCATGTGACAGCAATGATGCTGAGAATATGAGCAAGTTTTCCAGTTGGTTTCCATTTAATCTCATTGCATATGAGAAGCAATTGATTTATTTGCATCCTTTAATTCACGACTACTATATACAGGTGAAACTCATAAAATTAGAATATGGTGCAAAAGTTAATTTATTTCAGTAATTCAACTTAAAAGGTGACACTAATAGATTATATAGACTCATTACATGCAAAGTGAGATATTTCAAGCCTTTATTTGTTATAATTTTGATGATTATGGCTATAAAACCGTTTCACAATATTCTAATTTTGAATGTGGGGTTTTCATATCTGTAAGCCATAATCATCAAAATTATAACAAATAAAGGCTTGAAATATCTCACTTTGCATGTAATGAGTCTATATAACCTATTAGTTTCACCTTTTAAGTTGAATTACTGAAATAAATGAAATTTTGCATGATATTACGAGTTTCACCTGTATACTGTAAGTAGTGCTCAAGTTATATTGATTATTGATGCTTCATTTAGGCTCTTTTTCCAGACACGATCACCATGAACTGTTGCATGCAAAAGAACCGTATAACGCTATTCTCCTTTTGTGTTCCCGAGAGCAACACACCAGCATGAGGCTGAGCAAATAAAGACTTCTCGACTGTGGATGAACTATTCATGTAAAAGGCATTACATTTCTTTCCTCCAGGCTTTGCAGCTCGCGATCCCTGGCAGTGTTTGTGGCGGCCCTTCGGCGGGTTAAACAGCAGTAACTCCGACAGAAAAGCTTTGCTCACAGGAGTGCAGCTTCTGGGAATAAAAAGCTTAAAGCATCACTGATCTACACTTCCTTCAGATTCAGTTCGCTCAAAGGTTTGTCTCAGACATGCATCTTAGACTCAGCTGGGTTGCACTGTTGGCGAATGCCTGTGGATCGCCTTGGTGTGTGTGTGTGTGTGTGTGTGTGTTTTCACCTCTCTATCTTTGCCCTCAGGAATCACGATATCACTGTCAGATTCAGCAGTTCCGGGTCTGCAAGTGATATTCAGAGGCATTGCCATGACAACAACCTTCCATCAAACCCATGTATCCCAATCTTTAATCATTGCATTAATAATGTATCACATCTTTCTTGATGTCAGCTTATTTACCGAGCCGTGAATAATGTTATTCAAGCATAACGGCCTTAATGGTTTCGGGTCCGTACCGGTACCCCTGCGAGGTGCTCTGCAATTATCAAAAAATGATGCATAAATCACCCGCCCTCGTCGCTGAAGTGGAACTGCAACTAAAATTGAACATGGGTGGCTTGACAGTTGACATTTGGAATTATAAACATAGTCAGCAAATCGCTTTTTCGACTCCAATCCCTCGACGCGCGCTCACAGTTGTGATGTTTGCATCTGCGCAGGTCCAGAGGAGCTCCTGGTGAGTTTTGGAGGGGAATAATCCTGATGTGGGAGAGCTGGGCCTGGATCCAGAGACTCAGGGTGAATATTAAAATACAGCTTTCACAAAGATGAATCAAGGGTGCACATAACTGGTGCGCATGTGTGGTAAAAATAAACGATGCGCAGCAGAAACCGCTTTTTAGAGTATCAACATTTTTGGGGACGGACACGTTTACTTACTGGACTAGGATTTTTCTTCATCTCTGGTAAGAAAGCAATAATGATGATAAGTGTGTACATTAATTACTATTAGGGGCGCAACGGATATCAGGCCCTATGAGTCGGCACGCATGTGATTTGTGGATTAACTGCTAAGTTTAACCAACATAGAGTGAAAGGTTATCATTTGGATGTGTTTTCTCTTGCCAATTCGCCTTTGGCTAAACCCCGCCCCCCTTAGTTACTGTTGCTACGTCCGACAAACAAACTTCACCTGGGCTCTGGTATCAACATGGCTTATGCTGTGACAGCTCTTCCTGCTGAAATTTGATCAAACTTTTATAAAGCAGCAAATAAAGTGTCTGGTAGAAGTTGGCAAAAGGGGCTGCAATATACGTTCGAAGGCTTTACTCACGACATACAGGTGAAACGCAAGGAACAACAAGGCATCCAAATAGAGGCAAAAGCAAACCGGTCACAGTCAACAAATGACCCACCGCATATCCTACTAATGGAGACGGAGGCTGGGACTCACAATATCAAGGAGCAACACTGTTCATGCAAAGCTGGGGGTCTCTATTCACTTCTATAATCGTTATTACAAAGCAAACGGACTACGCGAGTATAGCGTTGTATTTATTAGCAGCGTGTGCTAGACGACACTTGTCAGGGTTTGACTTCGGTTTGGGAAGGGAAAAAAACGCACACCCCCCTCCAACCTCTCTGGGAAACGCGTATCTGTGTTACAAATGCCCCAGGCTCAACGTTTAACCATATTTTTGATAAAACTACGACGGTAATAGCCTGCCGAGACCACAAATATGAGACGCCTGTGTTAAAGTCAATGGAGCGCTGTGAAAAAGTGTCGGACCTCTGTGGGAGCTCGTTCTTGGCTGCGCTGTGATTGGTCAATCTACATTCTAGGGTGTGGCTTAGCCAAAGGCGAATTAACACATTTAAACTATTTTAAGAGGCGAAAATCGGGACTTGTGCGTTATCTGTGCGCACAGCGGCCTCACACCAGTAGTATGTTCCTGCACAACCGGAGGCTGCAGTTTCAGGACCCCAGTTCTAGGACCCTACTTTTTTATGACAGCGCCACCTACCGAACTGGATGATATAGCGGCGGCGGCGGTTTCAGGACTGCAGTTCTAGGATCCAGGTGGTACATAGTATCAAGATCCACCTATTATCTTAAGTCTTGTTTGAAAAAAAATATATATATATTATATAATAACAAGTAAGATTATGGAATAGAAAAGCTCCTGCAGCAGGTGGATTAGAGCAAGTAGCATCAAGCTACATGACACAATTTAAAAGATTAATATTACACTTTTACTTAAAGTTCACTATAAACCACTATCTAGTATTTGTGTCATATTCCTGTCGC